AATTAATTCCTTAAGAAAATTTTATTGTTCTAACCAATTCTTTATTGCGTGTATATATATATACACACACACACACACACACATATATATATATATATTCTTTTGTTTTGTTTTTTTTTGTTTTTGTTTTACATCAAACCCAGTCTCCAGGAAGACCATTATAATTTCCTTTTAATCATAGACAACTTGATCATACAAAAGGTTTTTTTTTTTGGCTGGGTGTTCTGGCTCATGCCTGTAATGCCAGTACTTCGGGAGGCCGAGGCGGGTGGATAACCTGAGGTTAGGAGTTTGAGACCAGCCTGGCCAACATGGTGAAATCCAGTCTCTACTAAAAATACAAAAATTTGTTGGGCGTGGTGGCGGGCACCTGTAATCCTAGTTTTTCGTTTGTTTGTTTGTTTTTTAAATAAATCTGCTTACTGTGATTTACACAGATCATTCGTTATATGCATGGACTCTCTGGTTTGTCCTGAACATTCCTCTTTCTTAAACAACCAATCATTTTACTCTGTGACTCAATTTACCATACAAGAGTCTTTCTCTCATTTGGCATACATCTTTAATCTCCCTCTAGCACCACCAGGCATTTTCTGTCTGTACCTTATGATGTAAATTTTGCTATTTGATTTTCACCTGAGTTGTTTCCTTTAATATGCAAATTTAAGGCCATTAGCTGACAACTGCCTAGGGTTCTGAAACAGGTTATCAATAATCTGAAAGTCTAAGATAGAAGAAAAAAAGGTTTTTATAAATCTATAAGCTGTACTTCTATCTGAATGCCTAATATGCCTACGTATTTATGTGTTGTGTAAACAATCTTTCACTACCAAAAATATATAAAAGAGCTCTAATTAAATGGCTTAAGAAAATAAAAGCATTTGAATCAAATACTTTATCAGGGGAAATAAAAGACTAGTCAAATGCTTTTTTCAAGTAAAAGTAAATTAAATAAAATCTTTCACAAATAAGCTAACTTTAAAATTATTGGTAAAGTAATATTAGAAGTATCTTAAGAACTGCCAATATACTTTTGTTTGCATTTATTAATCAAGCACTTTCATATTTATCTCTGCCAAATGCTATTATAAGGTGTCAAAATTTGGTGCAGGGGATACAAAACTATAAACCCAGCCTGATAGAATGATCTTTGCTTATGTAATTTTTAATAAATAGGACATAGATATTGGTTTAATAAAAATATTTAAATCTTGAATTTAGTAAGATTACCATAACTTCTAATCTTGTGGCTTCAGGTGGTCTAGTACACATGCAGTAAGGTTTGTTTTGGAAAAGGACTGTTATCATCTTTGTTTCAGAGATATACTATAAACTAAGTTCCTCCCAAATGTTAGTTCAGCCTGCACTCAGGAATGAACAAGGACAGCTGGGAGGTTAGAAGCAAGATGGAGTCAGTTAGGTCAAATCTTTTTCACTGTCTCAGTTATAATTTTGCAATGGCAGTTCCATAACATTAAATAATGACAATCACAGTTTTTATAAACAATGTAGGTAATCAGGGCCTCAGGGCCGAGTGCAGTGGCCCACGCCTGTAATCACAGCACTTTGGGAGGCCAAGCGGGGTGGATCACCTGAGGTCAGGAGTTCCAGACCAGCCTGGCCAACATGGTGAAACCCTGTCTCTACTAAAAATACAAAAATTAGCTGGGCATGGTGGTGGGTGCCTGTAATCCCAGCTACTCGGGAGACTGAGGCAGGAGAATCACTTGAACCCAGGATGTGGAAGTTGCAGTGAGCCGAGATCATGCCACTGCACTCCAGCCTCGGTGACAGAGCAAAACTCCGTCTCAAAAAATAATAATAATATAGGTAAACAATAAAAATAAAATAATTAGGTAAACATAATAGGATTAATACTTGTAGACATACTTGTCATAATTTTAAATCTAAAGCTATATTAAATTAAATGATAGATATTTCTTTATTTGAGTATTTTCCAATATAAAAATATTTGTAGAAAAATATTTTCTTTTTGAGACAGAGTCTCACTCTGTCGCCCAGGTGGGAGTGCAGTGGAGTGATCTCTGCTCACTGCAAACTCCGCCACCTGGGTTCAAGCGATTCTCCTGCCTCAGCCTCCCAAGTAGCTGGAATTACAGGTGTCCATCACTGCGTCTGGCTGATTTTTGTATTTTTAGTAGAGACGGGGTTTCATCATTTTGGCCAGACTGGTGTTGAACTCCTGACCTTGTGATCCTCCTGCCTCGGCCTCCCAAAGTCCTGGGATTACAGGCGTGAGCCACTGCACCCGGCCGAAAATATTCTTTCTAAAAAAAAAAAAAAAAGTGTCCCTTTAAAAAAAGGTCATGTATAAAACAAAGTATAAGGAACCAGAAAATAATAGAGATGTAAAGAAAGTTAAAAAAAGAAAGAGGCGGATTTTTTTTGGTAAAAAAGCTTAAAGAGAAATAATTTCATATGAGTAATATAATTTCATAGAGGAAGATTAAAGATGGATGCCAAATCAAACATAAAATTACATAAATTTATCATAGGATTGTATAAGGAGACCAATTTACTTAGATAGGAACTACCTATCTTTTAATTGGATCTCTAACTCTGGTCAGAGCCCATACTGAATCCCGGGTCTCCAAAAAGGGAGAATTATCATGAGGTTTAGACCATGTGATTCTTTTACAGTGCACTTAATTTTTTTTTTTTAGACAAAGACATTTCTAAGTTCCTAAACCACACTCTTAAAATTCCAAGAGTAGCCTCTGTTGCAATAACTATTTCAGCAAAAACAGCAACAACAACAACAAAATAAACAGGTAACTCAATACAAAAGCAGTTTAAGAGCTGAGATGAACTTGTCTGTTTACATTCTTGGGGTTCCATAAGGAAAAACAGGTTTCTCTCTCAAAAGGAATCTGGTGCTTTCTCCATTTTCTTTAAGGAACCCCAGGCTATTATAAACTGTTATATGTCCCCCATGCGGCAGAAGGCGCAAGAGAAAGGAGAGTCAGCAGAAGTAAATAAAGGAAACAGAATTTAGTCAACTGAGAAGAAAAAAAACTTTTGCTCAAAGAAAAAAAAAAAAAAAAGACAAGGTCCTAGGAGAAAAACAAAAACAAAAACATGAAGGCCTTTTAAATGCAAAGACACACATGTTGATGTTAGCTTTTAATTAAGCTGAGTTTTAACCACTGAGCTCCTTGAAAAAAATCTTTTAAAATCTCATTATCATATTTCAGCTAGGATGAATTGTTGCCATTTAAGTACAGCCATTGCTCTTTCAGTTTGGCCTGGCTAGCAAAAAGGTGGCCTTGTTATGTAAATAAAGCTTCTTAGTAGTCAAAATCAAAATTGTTTCCTTTTTTGTTTCCTTTTGCCCTCCGTTTTCTTCCTTCACCACACCTCCTTTTGTGTGTGTGTGTGCGTGTGAGATTTAGCTACTTCAGAGGCCCTGTTCCCCATAATTTGGAATTTACTTCGGGTTTGATCAAGTTTAACAGTGTTGATCAAACCCAATGGGAAAAAGACCAAAACAACAACAAAAACAGAAACAACAATAACAACAAAAAAACAGTTAAGCAAAACAAATGATCACACAATTTCTATGATTACCGAGTGCTCTAACGGTAAGGAGAGATTAAGACCAGCTGGTTGTTAATCTTAAGTTTGGCCAAGACAAACCCCAATTCAGTTACTTATCTAGGGATGGAACTCAGGCTGAAGACTGGTCTCTACCATCCTAGAAGCAGGAAAAACAAAACAAAACCCTCATCTTCCCTGTCGGCAGCAAGTTCAAACTCCATAAAGGAGTTACCTGCCCTTAATCATCATGGAAGCAGGAAAAACTTTGCCTTCCTCGTGTTGGAAAAAAGTAATATTCCAAAGGGGGAAAAAAAAAAAAGAGTTATGGCCGGGCGCGGTGGCTCAAGCCTGTAATCCCAGCACTTTGGGAGGCCGAGACGGGCGGATCACGAGGTCAGGAGATCAAGACCATCCTGGCTAACACGGTGAAACCCCGTCTCTACTAAAAAGTACAAAAAACTAGCCGGGCGAGGTGGCGGGCGCCTGTAGTCCCAGCTACTTGGGAGGCTGAGGCAGGAGAATGGCGGGAACCCGGGAGGCGGAGCTTGCAGTGAGCTGAGATCTGGCCACTGCACCCCAGCCTGGGCGACAGAGCGAGACTCCGTCTCAAAAAAAAAAAAAAAAAAAAAAAAAAAAAAAGAGTTATATAGCAAAATAAACTTTAGAACTCGACCAAATTTGGGGAGATCAGGGATTCTCTGGGCGGGTGGGTGGGGATGCTTCCAGGCCTCAGCAAATTGTCCTGTTAGTTTGAGCCATAAGGATAGTTCAAGATGGTACCAAGCACTGACAAGAAATTTGTCAAAAGTCAGAGGCATCTCCACTGAGAATCCCTTCATGGTTACCAAAATGCGAATCGTGAATATCTGAGACAGGTCTCAGATAATTAGGAAGTTTATTTTGCCAAGGCTGAGGACACTTGCTCATGTCACAGCTTCAGAAGGTCGTGACAACACGTGGCCAAGGTGGTCAGGACACAGTTTGCTTTTATACATTTTAGGGAGACATGAGACATCAATCAACACATGTAAGAAGAACATTGGTTCAGTCTGGAAAAGGCAGGACTAGTCCAAGCAGGGAGGGTGCTTCAGGGTCATAGGTAGATAAAAGACAAATGATAACATTCTTCTGGGTTTCTGATTAGCCTCTCCAAAGGAGGCAATCAGGTATGCATTTATTTACGTGAGCAGAGGATGATTTTGATTAGCATGGGAGGCTGGTTTGCCCTAAGTAGTTCCCAGTTTGACCTTTCCCTTTAGGTTTAGTGATTTTGGGGGCCCAGGATATTTTCCTTTCACCGTATCAATAGAATTGCACTTACTTGGTAATAAGTCAGAAGAGAAAAATGTAGGTCATTCCGGGCGCAGTGGCTCATGCCGGTAATCCCAGCACTTTGGGAGGCTGAGGCGGGCAGATAACGAGGTCAGGAGATGGAGACCATTCTGGCTAACACGGTGAAACTCCATCTCTACTAAAAATACAAAACAAAATTAGCCGGGCGTGGTCGCGGGCGCCTGTAGACCCAGCTACTTGGGAGGCTGAAGCGGGAGAATGGCATGAACCCAGGAGGCGGAGCTTGCAGTGAGCCAAGATCACGCCACTGCACTGCAGCCTGGGCGATAGAGTGAGACTCCGTCTCACTAAATAAATAAATAAATAAATAAATAAATAAATAAATAAATATTATTTATTCACTAGCCATCTTGGTACTCTGGCTATAAGAAAAAGGTGACTTCAGTGCTCCCTCAAATCTGCAATAATTATTATTTCAATAAAAGAGATTAATAGATGAATGAGCATGTTAGGTTTGGAATCCTGGGGTGGGAAAATAATAGCCTTTTTCCTGGGTTTGTATACATTGTATAGATAGTCAGGATTTTTTGTTATAACACATGGTTTGAAAAAGTCAATTTTTTTTAATACATATGTGTTCCTAGAAATTACAGTGCTATAAAAATCGTGCAGTGAAAACCACAGAGCTCATGTGACAAATGTGGTGAGGCATGCAATCCAAATCTCTTCCTAACCCCTGTATTTCCATGAGTCTTGCAGTATTCAACTGCACAATTTGGATAGTGAAGTGATTTTTAGTAACACATACCATGTTATAGCATTATAGAAGAAATGATTACCTGTACATTATACATACTTAATAATTATATCTAATAATTATATTAGTTTATGGAATACCTGTGTTGTTAAATCAACAAAACAAACCTGAATTAAAAGGACAGCAAAATTATGGCAATAGAAAACTGACAATGGACTCTTTACTCTTTTCATCTTATCTCAGTTCTTTTCTCAAAGCTAGGTCTAGGTAGAAGAGACTGGTTAACATCTCCTCCCCAAAGCTATCCCTTAGGGTTGTCTTTAAAAATGAAGACAGCCATTCAAATGTATGTTAAATGTAAACAAAAATACTTTTAGAAGCTGTCAGGCCTCTGAGCCCAAGCCTGCACATATACATCCACATGTACTGAAGTAACTGAAGAATCACAAAAGAAGTGAAAATGGCCGGTTCCTGACTTAACTGATGACATTAATCTTGTGAAATTCCTTCTCCTGGACAATGAGTCTGGAAGCTACCGCCGAGCACCTTGTGACCCCTGCCCCTGCCTGCCAGAGAACAACCCCTTTGACTGTAATTTTCCACTACCTACACAAATCCTATAAAACTGTCCCACCCCTATCTCCCCTTGCTGACTATTTTCAGACTCAGCCCACCTGCACCCAGGTGATTAAAAAGCTTTATTGCTCACACAAAGCCTGTTGATGGTCTCTTCACACGGAGGGACAGGCGGGCGGGCATGACAGAAACCTTTGCTATTTTTATTGGCCTGTAATATACAAGAAGGTGACAGAGTTCAGCATGAAGCTTAAAATATAAGTAAAAGAGAGTGCTTAACGCAAAAGCAGCTCTAAAGAAAACTCCCCCACAATGCTTTTTCATCCAACAATTCCTCTTGTGTGCCTGGATCTTTACTAATAAAGATTGTAGTCATAATTGTAGTAGTACAGAATTAATTTGGCTGATAGCTTGCAACAATTGGTTGTGTATTTACCATTTTAAAATTTTTGTCAATTTCTCTTCTTTTTACAATATTTGAATAGTTTGTCTATTCCACAGAAAGCAGAAGGCAGCTGATATATCGCTGTCTGGTTTCCTTCCTACCTTCCTTCTTTCTCTCCCTCACTCTTTCCTTCCCTCCCTCCCTTTCTTCCTTTCTTCCATTTTAAAACTCATGACTTGCATTTTTCTATTTAATATTTTATATAATGTTTGGCAACCCTGATTTCAACTGCTAAATTTAATCTCCGTTCCCTAAGTAGGCAGTTGCAATAAATTTTAGAATACTACCAGTACGACTGACAATCATCTCATTATTTTTCTTGAAAGATCACACTTCAGATAATCTTGTTCCCTATAAAGGACAGTTTATTGTCAAATGTATAGTGCCTGGGGATGTTTATGATTTTAAACATGTTTCCATCCCGCTATTTTTCTGACAGCCTTGGCTCTGTCTTTACTGTGCTGAAAATGAACCCTGCATAGTAAGAAGTTTGTGCAGTCTTGGTAGTCCACTGAGGAGTGGGGATTACTTTAACTATAGCCCTAGATTTCTTACAGTAAAAGGAATGTTTTCCAAAATTTGCAGACTGGACCATAGTTAAAAACAACTTATAGCTTGTCACTGGAAAATCTACCATTTACAAGATTTATTGTGTAGTATTAAATCTCATAGTCATGGTTTTATATAGCCCAATTTTCTTAAGTCAAAGTATATGATATATTGCTTTGTAATTCCACAATCAACAGATGAAGGTATTTGCAGTAATTCCATATAGCGTTAATGATAATAAGAGCCATAAACTGAAAGCCCTTTTTGTATGGATAAGAGGAATAAGAGTTTACCTTCTATATATATATATATTCCTTCATATTTTACCTGACTCAGATGTCCTCATGAATCATACAGATTGCAGCATGCTGAGTGTGTTTTGCAAGATGCATCTATGAGGTGATGATTAATGCTTAATCCCTTTCAAAATCACTAATAAGATCTGCTGGGTACAGTTGCTGGATCTGTTTATTTTACCAGATACGTACATGGGTACTCTGAAATGACTCACTGTCTACCTTTAGATTTCTAGAACAGTCTCTGCTTCCTGACCTCTTTTTTCCTGCTCCTGTGCCCTTGCAACAGACAGAACAAACACAATCTCTCTCTCTTTCTCTTTATACCTGGATTATATGTTAATTTAATTTAAATTAAATTAATTTTAGGAACACAAATGTTCCCTATTGTTAGTTGTAATAATCTCATTGTCACACTAGACTAGTTGTTATAGAACTCTCATTTTGGTTTCAGATATTTCATTTTTTCCTGCTAAAATTAATGTTTTTTTCCTTTGTCTATGATTCACATCCTGATAATATTTTTGCCTCTATGAAACTAACCTGCTAATAATATGTTAAAGAAATTATTTTGTGTTGCCATTTATACTTAAAACCATTTCCACATTCAACGTTAACTAACTTTATATATATACTTATCCAAAGATACTGTTTCTGAGTGTCCCATTTTTAAATGATTTTTGTTCTTTCTCTTTCCCACCTGTTCCTTGTCTTGCCTTTAATAATGGAACAATATTCTACTTTCCTTCTTTCTGCCACGTAACCCCTTGCACAATGTTTCCCTTATCTAATTATGTGTTTGTTTAGAAGTTCTAGAGAGTAAATATTGAAGCAATTCAGGCCACTATGGAATTCTCCCTGACTTGGAGATTACTTCAAGATTGCAGGTAATTTGCAGCCTGGTTATACCCAAGATGGCACCAGCCCATTCACCAGATGGGTCAATAATCCAAGGTAAGTTGTCAGAGCAAGTCATGTAGACTGGCACCTCCTTGCCTCTCCTGCATGTCCCCATATACCACACTACCCTTTTTAAGCCCCTGCATTCTGTCTAAAATTTGAAATGGTTTATTTAGAGCAGGAGCCTGGACTATTTCCCCCTGCTAGCTTTGGAAAATAAAGCCACTGTTCTTTCATAGCATTTTGTCCTTGTTGACTGACTTTGCAAGCAACAAACAGCCAAGCCTGCACCTGGATACAATATATCCATTTTTATTATATTCTAGCTATACTGTAGATATAAGTCTTTATTAAGGAACAAAAGGAAAAAGTGTATCATATGTTCATGGTAGAAAAAGTAGATAATGTAAATTTTTTCTTCTGGACTTGTCATCAGGATTCTAATTTTTAGATTTAGTTTGATAATTGTTTGGCCTTTGAAAAATTATATGCACTTGGTTTGTTTTCATTTTCTTAAGTCAAAACAAGGAAATAAAATCACATTTGCTTTCCAGGAAAAGATAATATTTAAGTGGTTGTTTAGTGTTTTGTGTCTTTGGGGGTGGGAGGGGGTGTGCGGAATACACACACACACACACACACACAGACACACACACACAGTCTATATATACTCTTATTGGAGCCATCACTATATTTTGAAAAAAATGCAATAATCCATTGAAGCTTAAAATTAAAATTTTGATTAAGCTAAGAGCTATTTTTGTAGAAAAATAATAAAGCCTCAAATAGTAAACTCATTTGAGGCAAGTGGCATTTATTTCTGTGTATGTATAGGAAATACCATAAATGTCAATGGGGTGTAATCTACTCTGAGAGACAAGTTATATTTTCCAAATTTCTACATATCAGCGTTACTCAGTGAAATTGAAAGACCATGGCCAGTGATTGAATTATGGTACTGCTCCTTACTAAGCTGCATGATTTTGGCCAAGTTATTTAACCTCTAGAGTATCAGTCTTATACTCTGTAAAATGGGATTTTTTTAAAATAAGCTAGGCATCTATCTAGCACAGTGATTGCCTTGCTCTGTGTGCATGGTAAAATAGCCAATTATAATATTAAGATTTGTGTTCAATATCAAAAAATAGGAGATATTCAGGGATCAAAAGGAGACAAGTAAAAGGGACCTTTCTCATTTCTCCAACTTTTTCTCAGGATTCCTAGATTTAAGATGTAATAGGAAAATAGTCATTAGTGAGAAAGAAGCAAATGAAGAATTAACTCTGTATGTGTATTCTCAGGCATCTTGTTTTGGCTCTGCCATCCATCTTAAGTGAGCTTTCACAATCAAAGTAGAAGAGCATCAGACTTAGACACTGTTAAGAAATTCACTGCTGTTTCTGAACATCTTGTATTTCTGAACCTTCTGCTATGAGATTAAATTATCTTTCATTTTTGACAGTGAGATTAAATTTTGACAGTTATTAATGAATCAGAGGAATTAAATATCAGGACAAAATAGTGGGTGTTGGAAAAAGGCAAATTCGTGTCTAGGAAAAATTGTACAGCAGTAGAAACAATCCAGAACTTGGGAGAAAAAAATCAGTAATGCAAATGGTAATTTAGTAGTGATCATTCTTGTTAACAAATTCAACAAATAACACTATTCTCACAGGAGAAAATTTATACAAAATTTACTCCCCAAATAAAAATGGATGAAAGAAAAGACTCCCAGCCTTGTCTGAACATTCAGACATACAAGAAAATCAAATAACAAAGCAAATAAATAAATAAATATAAAGAAAAGGAAAAGAAACACAAAGACACAAAGTTTATTGAACAGTGGAAAAGTTACATAAAAAACAAAATGATAAGAAATTTGACAAGTGTTGAGTGTGCCACTGGGACTTGAAACGTTACTAAGAATGGGGGTGAAATTAATATTGAATTTAAAGTACAGGAATAACAGGAGTTCTTACTTTTCTTATTAGTTGTTACATAGATTCCTACCATTAAGAATCAAACTTAGCTTTCCAAGTTAGAACCATGAGATATGTCTTGACTTAAACTTGATCTGTGCATGTATAATGTTAATACATATAATTAACTGCAGTATAAAGTCATTCTTCTGTATGACTATTTCTCTCTTGATTATCAACAAAAATTTTTCCCCCAGAGGAAAATCACTAATCCATAGAACCTAAAATGTAAGTATTCTGGAGTTGAAACATGACTAAGATCATATGTAAAATTCCACTGAGTATGTAATCAAAGAAATCAACAGATAATTTACAAACACAAAGAAAAAATCATAATTTAACAAAAAAGAAATTATTTGCTGCAATTGCTTAATTATTAGCAATTACATAAATGCAAATTAACATCATTTTAAGGTAGCTTTACATACTTATTGAACCACTAAGATATATAAAAAATATAAAATTTATACAAATCAATTTTAACCAACTGAACCTTAAAGTTCAGCATTCCTTAAATCTCCCCTTAGGACCAATTCCAAGGAATGGAATTGCTGTGTCAAAGATCACAGACATGTTTAAAGCTTCTTGAACTTATGTTGAGCCCAGAAAGGTTTGAATTCTAACCAGCCTTGGGTATTTTCATACTTTTCTCACTTTGACAGCGTTATGGATGGATAATCTTGTTTTAGTTTGCATTTCTTTGGGACTAGTTCTTGAGCTTGAGCAGACTTGAAGACAATTAGACATGGTCTCTGCACTTGCGGAGCTTACCCAGATAACTTGGAGGCAAGTCAGTAAATGTTAAGAGAAACATCATTTCAATATAATGTAATATATACTTCCTATTTTTTACTGCTGCTCTCCTTGCTTCTGGAGGAGAAAGGGTCACAAGGATACTATGAAACAGACCCATCCCAATCTGACAGCAAAGTGTTAATTGAAAATCTATTTGCTAAAGAATTCCAAGAGATATGCAAATACTGAACATGACTCTATTGACATTTCAACATGACTTTGCTTCACTGTTTTTTTTTTTTTTTTTTTTTTTTGAAGTTCTCAGGTTGTACTTTCCCTGATGCATCATGACTAAACCCTATGAAGGGTGGGTTGTAGTGGGACTGTGAATAGCAGTCAAGTGAGAAATATTAGATGGTGAGAGTGAGGCTCGTGATCAGGCATTAACCACCCTGGACTTCTCTAGGAAGTGAGCAATGGCCAGCCGCAGTGGCAGTTGCAGTAGCTGTAGAACATCCCAGGCTTGGAAATGCCAATTACTAGTAATCTCCACTTGGAATCTCTAGTACTAGAATCTGTAGTACTAGCGGGCTTTGGCTGAACAACCTATCGACATGGCCTTTTCTCTACATCTATTGCCCCATTACATTCACACAACTCTGTGATATAGTGATTATCCCCATTATTAAACATGAGAGAACAGAGGTTCAGAAAGACTAAATATTTTGCCTCCACTGCAGAGTGAGTTATACAATTGGGATTTAAAGCCACTTTCATGTGACTACAAAGCCTTTTTCTAGCATGTAGCAGTTACTAGTAGTAAAATAGACAACCTAGGTAAATCAGAATGTCATCTTCGCCCAGACTGTAAGAATTGTACCTTCATTTTCCTCTCCTTTTCCTAGCTATAGAAATCTAATTTTTGGATTTTGTTTTTAATGGCTTTAAAGACAAACCTTTTTTTTTTTTTTTTTTTTTTTTTTTTTGCAAAGACTTTGACTCACTCTGAGTTCCAAATTATTTTATTTTTGTGGCAACCGTGAAGGTAAAATTAGAGTGATGAGACCTGAATTAATCAGAGCAGGAAACCTTTGTTAACTAGATCATTGTTCTTATGAAAATCTGCATCTCTGGAGGTTCTTGTAGTAAAGCGATGTCTGCAGCACTGAGCTGAAATGACAGTTTGCAATGTGTACTCTGCTAAAGGTTGCCTAGCAATAATTTATTAGAGATAATAATAAAACCTCCTTGTTCCCTTTTAAAGGATTTCAAGTTTTCAGCTGATAATAAATGTAATAAAAGGTAGATTGATATAAGCATCTTAACCTTACATATTAGGCTTAATAAAATGAATAGTCAGATAGAGATGATTCAAACGTCTCCCTCATTATAATACTGCCTGAAATGACTACATTACAGACGATAAAGAAATGGCACACGGAAATGTGAAATCCTCAAACTCAATACTGTTTTCTAATATCCCGAGACTGGGGTGCACGGTGTTCTAATCTGTGACGGCCTCCCTAAGGAAGGTTTTAAAGTATATCGATGCTGGCCCCAACCTGAGAAATTCTGCAGCCATAGATAATTTTTTAAAGCACCCCAGATGACGTCAGTAACTCACATAAAGCGTTATGTAATTTTTGGTCATCAATGGATGCCGCCTAATTGTGTGCTGTAAAGCAAAGCAGACTCACTTGCTCTCCGGAAAAATTAGTTACCTCTGGGCTGTTGCCTGAAAAAAATCTTGAGTGTCCCAGGCTTTGAAGAGAAAGGGAGCAGCAGTAGTGCGGCCTGAAGGTATTGCCCTCTCGTGGTGGCTTCTTTAATAACAACGTAATGTGGTGCTGCTATAGCTACACCCTTTTTGGAGAAGAAGATTTACTTTTAAAAGACTAAACTTTAAAATTCTAACAGGATTTTCGGGTTGACATTATTATTTAAGCGTTCTTTTTTATTTCATCATGATTAAATTATAAACTCAGGTCATTGCATTCAAGTACAGTCCTCCCATGTTAACCGTGTGAGGTTGGTTCCAGGACCCCAGTGGATAGCAAAACCCTTGGATGCTCAAGTCCCTGATATAAAATGGAATAGTATTTGCGTATAGTCTGCACACCTCTCCTTGTATATTTTATATCATATCCAGATTACTTATAGTATCTAATATAATTTAAGTGCCATACACATAGTTGTTTATATTGTATTGAGTTTTGTTTGTATTAGTTTGTATTGTCGTTTCGTTGTATTCTTAATTTCTATTTCATTCCAAGTATTTTCTCTCTGCTATTGGTTGAATCTACAGATGTGGAACCAATGAATATAGAGGGCAACTGTATATAATTCCTGTCTCCTGATTGAAACAATTTGGGGTCCTCACCTTCTTTGCCCTTATTGAAAGCCAAACGAATCAAATATTTGTTACAATGAATCTCAAGTGGCTGGTTTGCTTTTCTTTCTGTTTTGTATGACATGGCACCATTTTTGGGGTGAATTAAACATTATAACTTTCTTCTTGGCATTTTTATCTTTTCTCCTCATGCTAATTATTTGTTTTGTTTTCGTTTTACTTTGACTCTGGGATACCTTTCTATGTGAACACCTTTTAAAATGAATTTCAAAATTCATTGGGACAAGGTAGCTCAATTATTAAAGTAGAAAAAATTTCTGTTCTGGTTACTTTTGTGACATAGTCATGGCCTAAATCTCAATTTCCAAACAGAAACAGATACATACAAGTGCAAGTTTCTGGTAAATTACATTTGTTGCTGATTCAAGACAATGAAGCAAAATTAGAAAGATTCTTATTAAATGATGGTATTATGGCTCTGAACATAATCTGAGCACGTAATTCAAGTGGGCATTTCAGTTTCTTGGAAATGAGTTTCATGTGTGTGAGCAATTGGAAATTTCCTCCTCCTGTTATTCAGGCTCTTGAGGGCCAGACTTGAAGAAAATGACATCTCCATGGGGACTTAGTACATCATAATCTGTCATTTTGTTACTATGTTTTGCCTGCCTTAATTTTTCTCATTACTTCAGCTGAAATCTTTACATAATTCATTGTAATTTCATTTAGTGTTAAAACTTGAGATATTGATGGAGACTGTTTGCCAGCTGCTGTATTCTGCATTAGAGATGGGTCTATTCAAAGGGATGTGTAAACAAGAGATCCAACACTCAAGAAGGCATCTAAAAAATCTTCAAGGTAACAGAGACTAGTGATAGAAATTCCTTAGACAGCCACTATATAGCAGGCCTAGAGAACAACCAGAATTACAGGAAGAGATAAAAAGGCTCTGGGTGAGAGGTCTTCAGAGCAGCGATAAGAAGAAGATACAAAAATTGTGTCGGAATGTATTGAGAGGATATTTATATAATCAAGGAAGGGTGTTGGTCGAGCTGAAAAATGTATAATACATGAAAATCAAGACAATCTCTAACTGAAAAGAAAACAAAAAAATCCAGCCTTCTCCAGGGAAGGAAACATAACCAAAAAATAAACTATAAGTTTATGTTGAGACTAGCCTTTAGCACAGTCAATATATCATAAACAGTGAGCTGATTTATGAAACAATAATGATCTAATATAACTAATGTTGAAGATAAGGAGAACTATGCTTATATGTAAGGATGTGGTGCTGGGTAAGTGAAAGAAAGTTGAATCCTTCTCTTCTATAAGAGGAAGTCATTAGATAACATTTGCATCAGGCAGAATCCAATCAGGAGACAGAAACACCCTGTATTTAAGCAAAGAAAATTTAGCATAATTTTTTACTAGTTTATAAAGTTGTTAGCCATGTAATTAACTGAAAGGTTCAAAAGCAAATTGTATAATATCATGAAAGTAGAAAATAGAAGATGTAGCTATCCCCGTGGAGCTGATGAAACAAAAGGAAGAGGCTCAATGTTTAAAACTTCAGTGTTTTGAGAAGAGTGCCTTAACTGAAACTCAGCCCTCTGAAGAAGAGGGCACCTCTGCTAGTGTTGGTATTCGTGAACTCAGTGTAGCCTTTGTGGCAGCTGTGAAAGTGGACTAATCAAATCTCCCTTCAGGAGAGTACTTATTAATGGGAGCACTGTTAGCTCGCAGGCCCTAGCTTGAGACATCTTCAGTAGAAAGTAGAATCAGACTAAGATGCAGCTCTGAGAAAGTCCTAGGCTGCCCCACAGAGGGCTTTCGTGCAAAGGGTGCTCGTAGGGGGTCCTGAGCTGGTCAGAAATTATGAATTCTTGTATTGCTGTCATGTTCAATCATTGGCTGGGGGCTTCTCAGTAATTCCACATCCTACAGCATTACATTACAGTACCTTTCTAGATATTGAGTACGCAAGTGGATATATGTGTCTGGTGTTCGTGGGAGGAACGTGAAGTGAAGATAGAAATGTGGTAGTTGTCAGCACATGGATGATGTTTAGCATCATGGGACTGGGCTTAGATATAGATGAGAGATGAGTATCGAGCTCTGAGATAGAGCAACTATATATGAGGGAAATCAGGACAGCATGATTTCAGCAAGCCAGGGGAAAAATGGAGTGGTCCACTCTGTCAAATGCTGGTAAGAGGTGGCATTACATAAAGGAAAATAAATGATCAATGAGTCAGTTGGGAAGGGACTGAAGGAGAATATAGACCATTCATTGCAGAAAATTTGCTGTAAACATAATTAATTTGGGAGATACCTGGAGAGGGACATGAGGCCAAAGATATTTTGTTTTGTTTTGTTTTTTTGCCTGGCATAATCTTGGCTCACTGCAACCTCTGCCTTCCAGGTTCCAGTGATTCTGGTGACTCAGCTAACTGCGTAGCTGGGATTACAGGAGCCTACCACCAAACACAGCTAATTTTTGTATTTTTAGTGGGTACGGGGTTTAGCCATGTTGGCCAGGCTTGTCTCAAACTCCTGGCCTCAAATGATTCACCCACCTTGGCCTCCCATACTCTGGGATTATAGGCAAGAGCCACTTGACCTGACCAGTGCGTTTTTGTTTTTTAAATTAAGAAGAGAGGTTCTGGATCTCTGGGGGACTGAGCACAGCACAAAACCAACAACAGCCTACAGAATAAAAAAAACCTCAAAAAATCATATATTTAACAAGGGATTCATTTAAAAAATTATGAGGAACACATACAACTCAATAGGAGAGAAACAATGTGATTTAAAAATGGCCAAAGGACCTGAATAGACATTTATCAAAAGAAGACAAAAATGGTCAACAGGTATATGAGAAGGTGCTCAACCTTATTAATAATCAGGTAATTGCAAATCAAAACCAATATGAGAGATACCTCACACTCGTTATGATGGTTATTATCAACATGTCAAGATGTATGTTGGCGAGGGTGTGGAGGAAAGGACCCTTGTACACTTTTGATAGGAATATAGATTAGTGCAGCCAGTATGGAAAATAGAATTGCATTTTCTAAAGAAATTAAAAATTGAGCTACAGTATGATCTGACAATTCCTCTTTTGGGCATATATCGTGAGGAAATGAAATCACCGGTTCATAAAAATATCTGCACCCCCATATGCTCATTCCGGCATCATTTACAATGGAAAAATGAAGGAAAAAACCTGAGTGCCCATTGACAGATGAAGTGATAAAGAGACTGTGGTATGTAAATAATGGAATATTATTCAGCCTTTAAAAAGGAGATCCACCATTTGCCACAACATGGATGAAACGGTAGGACATTATGCTCAGTGAAAAAAGCCACATGCAGAAAGAAAAAAATATTGTATGATATCACTTATATGTGGAATCTAAAAGAGCAAAATATAAAAAGATAAAACAGTGGTTGCCAGAGGGTAAAACAGTGGTTGCCAGAGGAAGGGGTGGGGATGGAGGTGGGACTAAATGAGGAGATGTAGGCCAGAGCTTGCAAAGTAGCAGATAAGTAGGATGAACAAGTCTAGAGATCTAATGTACAACATGAGAACTATAGCTTGAAAAAAAAAATGTACTGTATTGGGATTCCTGTTCAATGAGTAGCTTTTAGCTGCTCTTGCTACAAAATCAACAACAAAAAAATGGGTAACTATGTGAGATGATGGACATGTTAATTTGCTTCACTACAGTAATCATTTTACTATCTATAAATATATGTATGCCATAACTTATGCCTTAAATATGCACAATAAAATTTATTTTTTTTTAAGTAAAATGATCCTAGAACAAGAGAACAAGTTTGGATGCTGATGGGAATGGTCCAGCAAGAGGGATAAATATGTGATACAAAGGAGAGAAAAAGATGGCTGCAAAGGAGCCATGTGTGGTGGCCCTTGCCTGTGATCCCAGCACTTCTGGATGCTGAGGCAGAAGAATCACTTGAGCGCAGGAGTTTAAGACCAGCCTGGATGATATAGTGAGACCCCATCTCTTAAAAAATAATAGTGGCAAGATCGTACCCTTGAGTTAGTAGCAGTGTACAAGTGGAACGGTTATTCTAATTTGGGGTAAGAAACTCTTTCACTATAATAGACAAGTCAGAGTATATTAAAACAGATGCAGCAAATGGGAAGATATGATATGGAAAACTTGTGTATGCTTTCCTCTGATTCTTGTGAAGTAGAAAGCAAAAAGGAGGTTTTGGAGATTTTAGGAAAGAGGAAATTGGGAATTATCTAGGGAAATCTAGAAAATTGCAGAACTGTTCAAGGGTACCTGTTTTGCATTGTCTTTCAAAGATCATTTTGCAGAGGTGAAATTGAAATTTGGAAGGTCAAATGCCTTATCCAAGATCAAACAGCTAGGCAATCGTTGGATTTCCACTCAA